TTAAATAAAGTCTACGTCTTTTCTAAAACATAAATTTTATTTGCCATAAGCATCAAACAGGAATATGATACCAAGAGTTAACTAGAGCCTATGTACCATTGAGGAGGTCAGTGTCATTGGTCAACCTGTCCACCACTTCCTCCCCCAGCTCCTCGAAGGCAGCATCACTGGGGATAAATAGGGTACACCCACCAAAGCCGTGGCCATGGTGACCGTAACCATAACTACTGCTGTGATGTGAACTGTGATCTAGAGAGAGAAAGAGAAAAAAATTGACAACTGACACTTCAGGTTTGCCAACATAACAGTACTTATGAACCGCATGTGCATTGTTAAAATGTTATTATATTAAAGTTAAAAAACAGGAAAAAAAGAAACGCGCGATATCAAAATGTAGGCTATCGATACAAGAAAAATGTGTAAAATAGGTGTTGTTGCGTAGAACATTTAACCAATTTCCCCCTTTTTTACGTGCTTTTAAATAGATGTATTCTATTCACACAAACTACGTTCCATACCTGAAAGCAAATCTGTTAAGTTCAGCAACTGCAGACCGGTCGTTATATCCCAGTCAGCGGCGGTGTCGTTATCCACAGTCTCCAGGTCAACGGGTAGACACAGGAGACAGTCTACCTGGTGGACCTTCCCGTTCTTAGCCTTCCAGCTGTCCTTAATCCGGGACCCGGACACATAGGTTTGCTGTGGGGGATAATGAGAAAGGTTGAAATATACTTGAAAACCAACAGAGAAGTCAGGCGCCTCACTGAATAATAATAATAATAATAATAATAATAATAATAATAATAATTATTATTATTATAATCAGGCAGGCTCTTCAGATAAGTTGACACTCTATCATGTCAAATCAGACATCTATAAATAAAAAGATTGTTACCATAGAGAATCTGGCTAAGGTTTAAACACAAAATCATATAATTCTATTCTTATAATGCTTTTAATTTAATGTAATCAGCATGCTCTTAAAATACAGAAGACCCACAAACAAAGACCCCGTTCCCATACCTGGATCGATCTAGCAGGATCGGCCCCTCTCCGAGGGGTTTCTCGCTAAATTGCATTCAGCTTTAGTGGCTTAGATGTCTAGCACACCTACTGAAGTTGCTAAACGAAAGTTTTAATTAAAATTACTCCTAACAGCTTCAGTAGGCGTATCAGACATCAGAGTCGCTTAATCTGAATGCAATTTAGCGAGAAACTCCTCGAGGATGGGTTGATCCTGCTAGATCGATCTTGGTACGTCTAACGCAGGATCAGCTGGCACCAATTGTGATAACAGCAACTGGCTCCCTCTTACCTCGTGGTATATATTAATCCGCAGTTTTGTTCCAGCCAGAGTGTGATAGCTAGCGTCGTTCTTCAGCTCGTCGTATCCCAGAATGCCGGACACAAAATGTTGCCTTAACAGAGCCGTGATGTTCTCCACCGTGTCCGAGTTACTGATGTTCCAGAGCTGGTCACGTGTTTCATCTGACAGTTTAGCGAAGCAATAGTCACTGGGTGCGAATACAGTGTAAGGACCTGCCCAGTAGGTAGAGAACAGTGACAATAGAATAGCTGATCTAATACAGAATATGTTATTTATGTTTTGAGTAATGAATTCAACTCAGGGTGCAATTTACTATTTTTTTGTGCTAATGCACATTTAGACTTGTTGTAGATAATCCTTTTCATAAAAATTTATTTATACATGCATTTGTATTTTAACTCGTGATATACTATATACGGTTGGCATACATAATAGTCACCCTTTATATATACATCTTACTTGTTCACAAAACAAGATCGCTGAAATAAGTTATTGATAAGAAAAAGCTATGACTATTGGATAATTGCATAAAATAAACATTACACAAGGACCAATATTCAGACTCTTGAGAATCTACTCACCACTGCCATATCCTAGTAGATCAGTCACGTTGTACTTGTCTAAGAGTTCGAAGAATTTTGATGCCTTAATGAACAGCAATTCTTTCAAACCGAGCTCGTGGTCATCGTAACTGGAATGACCACGGCTACCGTGACCGCGGTTTCTATAGCCATGATTTGAGCCATGGTCGTCACCATAGTTATCAGAATGTCCAGAAGAATAATCACCATGGCGATTGATATCACGGTATCCATGACTACGTTGTTGATTGTTGTAATCGGATGAATAATCACCATGGGTACGTTGATGATGACCATACGGCGAGTCATGATTGTCCGAATGGCCATATCTTCTACGACTGTGTCCGGACTGGCGGTCGTATCCATCATGTTCATAAGTTGATCTTTGATAGCCGTGCTGTCGTCTACGGCCATAACCTCCCCCGCCCCCATGTCGATCCCGACCATGACCAGAGCTGTGTTGGGTTCCATACTGCCTATACCCGTGTTGGTTTCCATAGTTACGGTTGCCATAGTTTGGGCCTTCCCAACCGGAGTCTTGTTGGTATCCATGGCGAGGCGAGCTGCTGTATGTCTCACTCTCGTAGTCATACCTGCTGTAGTGACTAAATGTTGGTCTACGACTGTTCAATGTCTCCGACTGTGCAAGTACTGTACAGAGAATACGGCTGAGAATAGCTAACTTCCAGATAGCTAGATAGCCTGTTGACGCCATACTTGGCTGTCCCGCTCGATTCTGTGGGTCCAAAAATATAGCCTGGCAGTATGGATATAATCTGGCAATATATATAAATTTTTTGTTGTCAGGCACTTTGAAAATCTCGTGTACTCATACCGTTGTTCAGTTATGATTTGCCACCCAGCTCACTAGAGATTCCACCCACCTGTTTTTGTTTTCACCGTGAATCGTAAATTGTTAGTCTGTGTTTCTTTCTTCCTCCTACAACTGTACTGTTTAGCCATGCAATATACAGAGGGCAGTAATAAAAACAACTTGCACAGAAGGTATGCTGTTTAATTAGGCATATAACAAATGTACTTTCATTGGTTCAGTTATAAAATTCGATTTATGTCCCTTTTAATTATCGCAGGTATTTGGCACGGCGAAACGCTAGCTTTAATGTCCTTAGCTCGAAGCCTTTTCCACCTGCTTTAGCTTGCAGCATTATCAGAGCTCCCGGCGTAATGGCGGCTGAATCCGTAGACCTGTAGCCGTTAATGCACATCTTTTGTCACCCCGCCATCGGAGGCGTATTTCACTTCTGTTTTCCAGCTTCTTATATGTAATATACAATTTACGTGCATTTATTTTGTTTAGCTAAGTTTTATGGACGTGAGGTGGTTAATAAAACGCATATGTTCTAGTAGAAGAAGACGGCACGTTATCTCTTTGTAAGAATACCCACTGAAACATCTAGCTGTATCAAAATTAATTTAAATAACTTAACATCGATGTAGTCATTATTTTCAAAGCTGTTTCGCGCCAGGAGGAAATTGCGAAACCGAAAAGGATATCTTTGCGCCCCCCCCCCCCCGCCAAAAAAATAATAGATTTCAAGTTAGCCCTGATTTTACATATATTTGTCCATAAGTCTTTAACGATATTTTACATGATATTCGCCGAACATCAAACGTCTAGAGAAGATATCAGAGTAGAGAAAGAATAATATTACCCTTTAGTTATCAGTCAAAATTGCAACATTTCAAAAACATCATCCACATTATCCATCATATGTTAATTATTAATACTATAAGATACAACTCCTCGTTCTTTGCATTTGTTTCTTTATTGTTTACTTCAGAATAATAAAAAACGTAGAATGTTCCTGTAATTTTGGTCCTATGAAGTTCTATGTCAGTTTCGCAAGTGCTGTGGTTATTGTTAGGTCTCTCTCTCCCATCTGTTTGTGCCATTTAGCCAATGATGACTGGAGGAACCTCTGGGATTTTGGAGTCGCCGGAACCACCAGATCCACTGTCTCCGACTAAAATGAAATATAAAATATACAACTTATTGAGGAAATATTTTCGACTTCTCTACCATCTGACACGTTCTAACAATCTCCAATTCATACCCGTTTTATCACAATGGTATCTGAAACACTGTAATCCATACTTACTTAGAGATGTTATGGGTCCGTGGCGATATACGCTTGATTCGTTAAAAGGGGTGTGCGTTTGTTCGTTGGTGAAATGCAAGTAATTTTCTCGGTATGTTCAAGTGTTCCTCACCTAACGCATACTCAATCACTGTTCTTCCACACGCATAGAAAACATGTTTTTTTTTTCAAATATTGATTCAAATCATATGGTAAAACGTTGGTTGATACAGTGACTTAATCAACAGTACCCTAGTTATAGAAAATTATAATCAGCATCTTTCAAAACATGGAAAGTCACTAAGTTTAATTTATCATTTTTTCTTTACCTGTGTATAGAGAAAACTCGTCATCGTCGCCACAGATTTGGTTCCGGTTGCCAGAACAGGTGTCGGAACATTTGCCCGGGCGCGGAGTTGAATTTATCAGCTCGTTGCCACAGTAACACTCATTACCGTCCTTCAGACCTGAGAAAATGATAAGTGATAACGTACACCTATGCTCATCATTGTGTCATATATATACGGATAAGCCACGTGTGTCTGAGAATGAAAGCAGTGCGTTATGAATTGGTTAGTCAAAGCTCTTCGCGCACTAGTAAGGCTTTTAATTTTCGAAGTGAAACTTTACTGTGTGGACCAGGCATTTTCGCCTGGGTCTTTCCCCAAAGAAATACAGAACTAGAGAAAAGATTGTATGTCTTTTTACATACCCCTCCCCTACCAGGTGCATGTTATCTCGATATTTAAGTTTCTGTCTGCACTATCATAAATTTTCGTCGTACCTCACGGTAGCTCACCTGCCATAAGGGGGGGGGGGGGATGTGCATCCCTTACTATAGCAACCAAAAAGGTACCATAACTACGACGATGATTTGTGTGTCACGACCACTGCAACTTTCATGCTATTAATTAAATATTCAGGGACGCGTGTTTGGTCCTATTCACAAATCTCCAGTATTTTAGTTTTGTATTAAAAAACATCAATCTAGCCTCATTGTGTATCCGATTTCTTACCTGCTAGTCCATATCCCTTCTGATCACAAAACTTGAGGCAAAATTCCACCGTCATGGATTCCTTTTCTAATTTGTCAGATTTCAAGGACGCGGCGACATCTTCCTCGACGAAACAACCCACGTATCCGCTGATGTCTGGAAAATAGAGCGAAAGCTATCAAAATGTTCAAGCAACATCAAATACGCACGTATCTGCCACTTTTGAACGTCGTTTCACTAAACAGTTCTACGTGTTTTAACTACAAGTCAAGGTCCAACACAATGAGGGGTGTGACCTTGATTTGAGACAGGCAAGAAGAAACATAGATGAATAAAGCAGAACATCTAAATGTATATTCTGATCTCTCTCTCTCTCTCACACACACACACACACACACACACACACACACACACACACAATCTCTCTATACCTTCACACTTTGGAGCTGGTGCACTCCAGGCCACATTGCCGTCCTCGCCGAGTTTACACTTGGCTTTGTAAACCCCAACCCTGGTGGTTCCATCGGAGCAGTAGTACTTAACACTGTCTCCCTGGAAGAAGAAGCCCTTCATCTCCTGGTTGACGCTGGTCTTCCCCGTGAATCCGAAGCTGCTGATGTCGGCACAGGTGATGGCTGGGAATGACACACAGAAATATTTCACAGTGGTATTTCAGAAAAGGAAGCGCTAGAAGTACATTAATTGTCTGTAGTCGCATGCCTGGCTGTTTGTCTTCCTATCTGTCTGTCCGTCGTTTGACTGCTCGTCCGTCCAGCTACGTGTTTATCACAGGCGTAGTGGATTATTACCGATACATTTATTTACTGATTTTCTCAAACATCTACTGATACCACAGTACCTCAGATTTAAGCACGGTCTTTGCAGAAGTATTTAATTTCTACTGATACCAAGCAGAGTACAATTGCTCATTTGCCTAAGAGTCTCAACTTACTTGGAATTTTTGCGTTAAATGCGCTCACCGCGACTGAAAAATAAAAGAAAAAGCGAAATGATTTATGGGGATGATATAAAGGAACAAAGAAGATATCTATATACTGACAAACTCTTTTGAAAAGCGTGAGTGAAGTGGGCGTCTCGTCTTTTGAGACCACAGTTGAAGGTGGGGGTGAGCTCATTATGTTAATAAATATTGCACAGAGTATATGAGACTGTGTATAGTTACCATCGTAAACAGAGAACACCCTCTTGCTTTCACCGCCACATATCTGTTCGCCGTTGCCCTCGCACTTGGCCCTGCATCTGTCACTTCCTTGCAGAACGGTGGCCATCTTCTCTGACTTCATACCACACCAGCACTCGTCCTCGTCGTGAAGCCCTGCTAGGTCCATCTTTAGAGCCTGGCAGTAGGCGAGGCATCTGAGATTAAATAAAGCAATACAATTAAGTGAGACCGAAGTCATGCTCTTCTTATATGAAATATTTGTAATTGTATCTCGTTGTTTTTACATTATCTCTCAGGGGCGGATTTAGGCCGTCTTCTGGGTCTTCCAGAAGACGGTCAGATTTTCAAGTTTACATTGACGGGTATCCAATTTTTAATGTTGGAAGACGGTCAAAATTGGAGGCTGAATCAACAAAGATAATTTGGAAGACTGTCAGTATATAGCTCTGGATCCGCCCCTGTCTCTGACCAATTGGTTGGCTGATGTGATAGCCAGTGGAGTCGACAGTTGTTCATGCGATCCTGACTGGGACATACCAGATGGACACCCCCCCCTTATGGTAGGGCCTATCTCCTTAACGAGCACTCAGCATCTAGAGGTTCAAAAAATCGTAATCCATAGATAAAACAATCTAATTTTCCTCGAAAAAGCTTCTAGTTAAAGTTTTGCACATTTCTGATTTAAGAACTTAGTTGTAAATGAATTATGATTTATTAAGACTGTTTAGACCATGCCTGGCGTTTCACTAGGACATATCGACTCTAACCACTTTTTAGCAGGGGTTGTCAGCCTTTTGGACGGCTGCATTCGGAAGGGGATGTAGCCCTGAAGGAATTTTTGAAAAAAAAAAAAAACAAAACAAAACAAAAAAAAAAAACAACTTAGTTTAAAACGCATATAGTGTATTATAAAACAACCAGTTATAACACACCATCACACTTCACACCGCATGAAGGCGGTGTAATTGCAGACCGCGTGTTTGTAGCACGAGGAATACTTTTACAGTGGGAACTTATGCGTACGGCACTAGCTCTGGTCGGGATCCATGTCTTGGATTTCTATCCGCCTTGAGGGAGAACTGAATTTAAATTTGAAGAGAAGACTAGTATTCCAAATTGCGAATTAGCTACTTCTCCACATTGCGTTAGTTGCGACTGCTTTAAATTGATTGCGTCAGTGTTACCGCATTGCGTGTGATTGTGCTTGCCAGATATTCTCGACAGATACAACAAGAATCACATCTAAGGATATTTTATGTCATGTCATGGATGATGATGTCTTCAGATTTGTGCATCTTTGTCTCTGACTAAACAGGTCTAAAGGTCGTAATTTTATTAATTTTTAAGCCGAGGCCATTATCGCCTCGGGGTCTTTTTAGTTAGCACTACAAGCTTGTTTATTTATAGCAGATAAGGTATCATTTTTGATGCTACACTGTGACCTTCATTTTATCATCCTTAGACGTTTTTCATATGAGATTTTATATTTCAAAAGATTCATTTCTTTTTTGAACCTTTCGAAATTTTACTTTCCAGATTTGTCCCATCAAAATCGAACTTTCTCTAGTACCTTCACATTTCTTTTCAAAAGAATATGCAGCACGTCTATGTACTGGTACTTACTTCTCTACTGTGAGATCGTCAGCTTCCCATTTAGTGTCGCGTTGAAATATTTTGTCCTCCGATTTCTTAGCGTCAGTGAAGCAGCCTAAGCCGCCAGGCATTACTGAAATAATCAACACAGTATTTTTATTTTCTAATTTGAAAAAATTGTTAGAACTATTACTCAGCAGCCACCTCCACCTTTTGTGCTCAATAACGATTGCAAACCACTTAAGTTTGATTTTATTCCTCAATAAGGGAAGCATTTTATTCTCTCTCTCTCTCTCTCTCTCTCTCTCTCTCTCTCTCTGTGTGTGTGCGTGTGTGTGCGCGCGCGCGTATGTAGCCTACGTGTGAATACTTTTCCATTACCTACATACCTTTGCTAACCTCAGGCTCATCCGCCGGGGCAGCTGCACAAAACTAAAACAAGCAAAATTATGGGATACATTGTTTCGAAAAAGTTCAAATTGCTCACGACCGAGAGTCTAAATCTTCAAAGTTTATGACACTCTTGTTCTACATCCTCCACATTTCCCCCACCTGCACTCCCGGAATATTCTCACAAGCGCATGTTAAAAAATTCTCTGTAAAGTTCATGTAGTTTATCCCCTTTTAAAAGTTTCTTTCGCGATGAAAAGATGATTTAAACTGCTCTCTCTCCTTCCCCCCTTCCTCTTATAAAATCTTTAAGCTAAATACAAAGCAAAAACTTCAAGAACTTGTATTTGAGCATTTTTACCTGCAGCAGAGCCACAGATGCCAAAGTGATTAACGCAGGCCTCATCTTGCGACACTAGCTTGCTGAATCTGCGCAAATCTTCGTCGTGCTCCATTTATACGGCAAGGTGTCGGTTGGGGATAACCACTCCACAAGACAGCGATTAAGGTCTTGAGTCAGGGTTATCGACTATAATATTTACCAGTAGATATTATTAATCAGTTTAGATACGCATTATATAAGAAGCATTCAGGTGCGGTGATGTTTGGTTGACGGTGGATTTAAATTCCCTAGCTTCAATCATGAGCCCAGGACGTGTAGCCAAGGGAACTTACAGCGCTGCAGTACGTAATTTTTTCAAGTGCATTCACTCGACGTTATAAGCTTTGCACAATTTAAGCTGAAATCATATGCTCATTTTCGAAACTACTATTAAACTTTATAAATAATGCATGATCCTTACGAACTCCATTTATCTGAATTTACTGATGCATTCCAGAACTTAGTGACATTAAATTCAGCTGCTCCGTACGTTGTCTTCGTGATTCTTGATCTAACTTGCCACATACTAGCTATAGTACGTCCCTTCATAACTAGGTATCAAACATACACCATTGTACACAATCGTTTGGTGCATCTTCCCCGTCCAATACAAAGAAGCGAAAATGACACCCGCTGCTCATTTTTACATGAAATTGCCTATGAAGAAATCTGAAATAATGAGTTCCCCGTTTTAGTTTTGCACTTTGTTTCGTCAGATTGCTGATAAGGTAAAAGGTTTGTAAGGTTCTCTAACGTAGCGAAGTGTATATAGGGTATTCAATATGTGTAATGCAGCACGTAGCCCTAAATGCATGTATTTTCCATATTATTTCAAATAATAATAATTATTTTATTAGTTATTCACAGGGCTGCTAAAGCTTATATTTATTTGTACGTATATCTCCTCCGCGCGAGAGAAACATTTAGTTGGCAAAGTCGTGACCATAGCATTAAGCCGACCATACATTAATATATCTATCTCATAGATAACTTTATTGGTCATTAACCAATATTACATACATAAGGTTGCAAGGTTGTCAAAAAGTTAACAGTGGGTGTAACAACAGACCTTTTGTTCCATAGTGGCACCATTAGCACATGGGTGCCAATGATGCCAAGGTCATACTAAATATCAATGGTGTTCTAATTCTTTCATTACAGGAGAGTCCACAAACTGGTTGTCGCACACCTCATTTGCCTTAATACTTTTGTTTAGTCATTACCTTACCTAACGGCAACGGAATATTGCAGTCAGTCAATACTCATAGCAAGCAAATGCCCTTGGTATCTGGAGTTAGATTTTCAATAACAAAAAAAGGATCCCTGGTAGCACTATTTGCATATTTGCGATAATGTACCGCAGGTACGTGTCTTTACTAAGGTCCCCTAGGCAGTTCTAGCATTGACAAAACGATTAAGTTATTTCAACAAGGTGATAGGGGCATGGTATTGCGGTGCCACCTCTCGGGATTGAAGGTTTATTATTTTGACATCGGGTTGGTTTTAACACGTGATTCAACTATTGGTTTCATTATTTACATATGGAGATTCACCATAATCACCGTGTTGATCTTGTTTAAGAAATAAGCTTTATTTATTTATGTTTTACATATAGTATAGAGGTAGTAGTGGTTTAGAAAAGTTACGAGATGTTATGACTTTTAGGCGTCGAAATGAGGATACAAGGAAGCGTTTTCTACATTTTCCTTGTGCTGTTTAACCATCGTGAACTTTATGTAAATTGAATGCTATGACAATTATTTAGGGCCCCTTTACACTGGATGGGCGTCCTTTCTGCGTCCTGAAGTGCGGATTCGGTTGAGAGTACAAAATTATAATACTTTACTTTCTGACACCTGGCCGATCACCTAATATTCATTTTTTCAACCAAAGAGATGCTTGTGCCTCCTTTTTACGACCACAGTGATGAAAGTTTCGTGGTCGCACAAAGGACGCAGAAAGGACGCCGCCCCAGTGTAAAGGGGGTTTTACCGTGTTACAAGCAAGACTCTAAAGGTCTCTTTCCACTGGACGACCTCCTTTCCGCGTCCCGTAGTTCGGCCCCGTTTGATAGTAAAATAAAATAATACTTTACGTGCCGACAACTGACCGATCATTGAGCATTTATTCTGCAACCAAAGCGATGCTTGTGCCTCCTCTCTACGACCACAGCGATGCCAGATTCATGGTCGCACAAAGGACGCAGAAAGGATGCCGTCCAGTGTAAAGGGGGTTTAAGGAGTATCAAATCGTCATGATAAAGAAAAAGTTTGAAGAAAAGAAAGGGTCGGAAAATACGTATTCCACTGTTGACGCTAAGATGTGCACATTTCACACTAAAGATGGTTTCATTTCTAACATCTAGAAGAAAAAAAAAGTTACAAAAAAGTCAATGTACCTATAGTTTAATTGTATCTATAAAATATATACTGCAGCATAAGCAAGTCACTAGTCTTTAGTGAAATGCCAGCATCCTTTAGCGCTATACACGCAATTGTTTTATCTGAAAACTTCCATTATACTTTAAAATGAAGCCCATGCTGCTTTAGGTGACGGTTTAGACTTCATGTCTTCTTTTTCATCCTCATCATCATCCTCTGGAGTGACCCTAGGGCGGCGCTTCTTTAAGAAGAAAATTAGCAGGCAACAAGCAAGAACCCCCACTGCAGCAAGGAACGCTGCCCCGGCGCCAACCATGATCTGAACTACGGGGTTTGATATCGAAAGAAATTTCTGCACACTGGCCCCAACTGCTTGGTCCACTTTTTCTCGGCTAAATGATCCTTCAGACTTGTCTTGCCCATCTTCGACTTTGTCGTAACCCGCTGATTTGGTGCTTAACCGAGTTGCGTTGGGTGCAGCTGTAACCGTTCCGTTGGATGCCAATGGTGTGGACGTTGAGTTGCCATTGCCTGCAGTTGATTGACGTTGCAGATCTTGCGATGTGGTTGTGGTGCTGTATGAGGTTTGGCGTTCTTGTGTGAGAGACACCCTCAAAGCTGTCGCTGATGGTGTGGCAAAAGGTACGCGTGTGGGCACTGTAACGCTTGGCTTTGTCTCGCTGCTTGTAGTAACCACGACAGTAGACGTGCTTCCCTTTGTGGACTCAACTTTCGCGCATCCCACGTCCGAAAACGAACCGCTTAACTCTCCTAGCTTTTCAAAGTCGTCAGCAACAAAAACGTGTTTGTCTATCGGTTTGCTTGCCATAGTGCTTAGCTCTTGGTGACTGATTTTGGTACCAATGGCGACGGCGTACATTTCAATGCCTTGTTGTTTTGCCAGGTCCGCTTCGTTCTTTGTTAAAGCAGCGTTATTGGAGGCGCCATCTGTTATGATTATAGCGATCTGGTTGGCGTCTGCTCTTGCTCCTAGGGGTTTGCGCGCATTGAGGTAAGCCTGGTGCGCCATTCTAATGGCTACGTAAGTTTCTGTGGACCCGCCTAAATAATCAACATCCTTTATTTTTGCAAGAACTGCCTCTTTCGTGTTAAGTTCGTTCAACTTAAATTTCACTCTGTACCCGCTGGAGAAAGTTATCATTGCAACACGCGTTTTGTTTTGCCCTACGTCAAATGATGAATTCACTACGTCTCGCATAAACGCCTTGACTTTTTCAAAACGGAAACGTCCAACACTGCCCGACTCGTCCACCAAAAATGCGACATCCAACTTGCTTCCACAGCCTGTAAAATATTCAACCAATTTCTGAAACGGTTTTCAAGAAAATTAATTTTATTACAAATCTTATTAGAAATGAATAACGCAATGCGAATACTTGTTTATATTAATTTGCGATATCTTTACAATAACTTTCGCTTGGATTCGTTTAAATCGCCAAAATGTATAAATACATATCAAAATCTGCATTTCACTTTTCTTCCACATATAACTCACCACCAAAACAGACTGGGAGCGCACCCAAGAACACAATAGCAATGAAGACACCAATTTCTATGGTCGATTTCATTCTCAGAATCGTGCTCTTCAGTGTCGCAGAAAGGCGACCTCCTCAACGATATGTCAAACGGGGAAAACAGAGTAAGTCACTTGTCATTTATGATATATTTACGCCCTGTCATATCAATACGATTTCTTCAACAACTTTGACCGTAGTACTTTATTAACTTCAAATATAGAAATAGTTTCTCCCTGTGATATTGGTCCGTGAGCCGTTATCTCTGATTAATACCATACCGGGCATATAATCTGGTGCATGGCGACGTAAAACATTGGGAAGGTTACATGCCATTACTACACCTACTACATTATTTAAATTATTTTTCAAGGGGAAAACGCACATAATTACAATCTGGGTAATTATCTGGCATAGAGGCCACTGCGTGACACCAAAGTAAAAGGTAGACTGGGTCGAGGGTGGGATCATTCCACGGAGACGGGGACCCTCCGCCGGTGTTGCTAATGAACTGGTAACAAACTGTCTCTTTTGGTCGCCAAAACCATCTGTGACGCGGAGAAAGCATAACAACAATCTAATCGGTTAGGTATTCATGTCTATATCTACACATTGACATGACGTAATTGTCCATATGCAGTCTTTTCTAAGTTTCACAACATACAGCAACAAATAAACATAACGATTGGGCTTTATTATTGATTTTTAATAAAAGTTATTTAAATTACATGTGACAATTGGCGACTCCCTCTCTGCACACAAACCACAATGTGATTAACAATTAGAATAATGTACACCTTCACATGTCCATCCTATTGAAACAATCTTGACAAAGACAAAATTATACTGACGGGTTTTTAGTGTTACAAATGATTCCATCACATCTAAAAGAAAACGTGTCTGACACGCCGCTTTATACCGTGACAGTAATGAACCGAACATTTATTATCATAACAATATGTACAATTTGTTATGCATAAAAAGTTCCAACGTCATCTTGAGTGCGTGACGTCATTGAACATTGCCAACGTCACAAAACTCGGGTTGACAAAACGACAAACGTTCCATGGACTTCATATTGTTTAACAATGAACGCACTTAATAAACATTGCACAAAAATATTATACTAACATTTCAAGACGCCACGCCAGTGCATACGGGTTTTTTTCTG